TTCTTCCTACCTGCTCAGTCTCTAACAAATGACTGAGTAATGCACATTTTTGAATAAGAGAAGCAACTAATGCAAATTCCAGAATGTGCCATAACAAAAGACGGTTGCCCACAAAAAGCGTCCTAAGGAAGACACAGGGTGACGACCAGAAGCGTGCTTCGGGAGACGCAGGGTGCGCTAGGAATTTCCTAAGGGAAGTATCCATGTTCCTATCTGTTTCCTAAGGGGGCAAAATAGCCATACAATTGCCCATAAAAAACGTCCTAAGGGAGAAGCAGGGCGACGACCAGAAGCGTCCTTCAGGAGACACAGCTCGCAAAACAGCGTTCTAAGGGAGACGCAAGGTGCGCCAGGAATTTCTTAAAAGGGGGTCACCATGCTTCCTACGGGAGATATCCAGGTTCCTATCTGTTTTCTAAGGGAGGCAGGATCACCAAACAGTTGCCCATAAGCAGCGTCCTAAGGGAGACACAGGGCAATGACCAAAAGCATCCTTCGAGAGACGCAGCCTGCAAAGCAGTATCCTAAGGGGGCCGCAGAGTGCCCCATGAATTTCCTAAGGGAGGTATCTAGACTCCTATCCGTTTCCTAAAGGAGGCAGGATAGCCAAACAATTGCCCATAAGCAGCGTCCTAAGGGAGGCGCAGGGCGACGACCAAAGCGTCCTTCGGGAGACCCAGCCCGTAAAAAGCGTCCTAAGGGAGACGTAGGGTGCGCCAGGAATTTCTTAAAAGGAGGTCTCCATGCCTTCTGCGGGAAGTATCCAGGTTCCTATCCATTTCCTAAGGGAGGCAGGATAGACACGCAGTTGCCCATAAGTAGCGTCCTAAGGGAGATGCAGGGCGACAACCAAAGCGTCATTCGGGAGACGCAGCCCGTAAAAAGTGTCCTGAGGGAGACGCAGGGTGCTCCAGGAATTTCTTAAAAGGAGGTCTTCATGACTTCTGCGGGGAATATCCAGGTTCCTATCCGTTTCCTAAGGGAGGCAGGATAGACATACAGTTGCCCATAATCAGCGTCCTTCGGGAGACGTAGGGCGATGACCAAGGCATCCTAAGGGATGTGCAGAATACGCCCAGAGCCTCTTAAGGGGGGCCCTGACACTCGCCAACTTCCTAAGGGAAACCATCCTAAGGGATGTGCAGAACACGCCTGGAGCCTCTTAAGGGGGGCTCTAGCACTCGTCAACTTCCTAAGGGAAACTATCCTAAGGGATGTGTAGGACACGCCCGGAGCCTTTTAAGGGGGGCCCTAGCACTCGCCAACTTTCTAAGGGAACCATCCTAAGGGATGTGCAGGACACGCCTGGAATCCCTCAAGGGGGACCTTGACACTCGCTAACCTCCTAAGGGAAAAACATCCTACGGGATGTGCAGAATACGCTCGGAATCCCCCAAGGGGAACCCTGTCACTCATGAATATCCGAAGAAGATGTGCAATCAAGACACAGGCTGGTTACTCAAGTAGTTCACTTGTTGCTGACTTGCATATGCCCGTGCTGTTTGTGCGTGACGGTGGTCGTGGAGTTGGCTCTGGAGTTGGTCAAAGCCCCAATTCATGTGATGGAGTGGTTCACTTCTCAAATCCCCTGCTAATCACATCTCATTCAGATTGTTTAAATTTATTTTTATTGTTTTTTATTTTTATTTTTAGTTTAGTTTTATCACTGAGTTTGGTGTTTTATATTCATCATACACTGTGTTTACTGTGTACTGTTTATGTATTCCATGGAGGTGAATATGTAGAATTCTATGTGAATTTGAGTGAAAAAAACCCCATCAAAATCCCAAAGCAACTCATCAAAACCCATAAAAATCAGAGTAAAAAAAAACTGATCATCACCATTCTGAAACTGAACCATTCTACTCAAAACAGCAATTCAATTCACATTATATTACAGTAACATTCAATCCCTTATTCAAAAATCAACAAGTAACCGGCTTGATATCAGTGAAGGGAGAATATAAGGATGGCTTTGGTGAGGCTCTAGCTGTTATCTGCCTTTGGGTGGAGGTGCGTGAATTGAGTGGGGTAGCTAGCTGTGTGTAGGGGAGGTGGGTGGCTGCGGGATTGGTGGGCGTACATTTTTACGGCACATCCACACCTCCGAGGGGATCAAAACCAGCTCTTCCATGGGGATTTTCCAATTTTCAGATACCCCTTTACCCCAAGGAATTCGCCGCTGGTCATGCGCTTGCAGCTGGCTTTGGGTGGCTGCTGTGAGTTGTTTGTTTTAAGACAAATGCCGTAGAGGTAGCGGTGCCTTTGCGTCTGCCTGCTCTGCCCCTGTTTCTTAAACCATGGCTGCTGGTTTCATGTTTGCCCTTGTTCTATAATTTGGTCAAACTAATATAATGTGCATAAGAATTCCTTTTATGATTAAACGAAACTCATTTGTGGTAACCAAATTAAGTCAAAACCCTAGGTCAAATAATTCATTCCATTTGGGGATTATTTGACCTAATTGGGAATTAATCAACCTAATTGGGAGTTACTCAATTTAATTGGGGGTTACCCAATTAAATTGAAGACTACCTAATTGGGTTGAGAATTGATTCCTAATTCCTACCCCGATTCTCAATTAAATGAGGAGTTACCTAATTGAAATAGGATTTGATTTGATACCTACCACAATTAGGGATTTGATTTACCCTAATAAATCAAATCCCTAATTAATCAAATCAATTCCATAAAGGGGAGGAATAATTCTCTTCCATCTACGGAATTATTCCTCTGAAACCCTAGCCTCCGAGACCATTATAAAAGCATAGCCACACACAATGGTGGAGGTACGTCTAAATTCCTACTGAAACTCTGCAGAAATCATTTCTCACAAACCCTAGCCACCACTTTCTTTCTCTCCCTTACACAAGGCTCCGGCCACCACACACGGCTCCGGCCACCCGGTTTTCCTTGAAATACCTTACCTAACTTAGGCATCGGAGGGCCTTTGGCCAACACCCCCCGGGTGTGGTCCTTTTACTCCGATCTGTTTTGCAGGGAGAAAGAGAAGCGGAGAAGACGAAGGAATCTTTGACGGATATTCTCGTGGGGAAAATCATTCCCTCCAGTCGGCCTCCTCTGATCCCCCAGTCCATCTCAACCCCACCGACCCACCCCCTTTACCTCGTCGGTCTGAGCGTGTTAAACGCCCTTTTTCACATTTTCACGACTATAAAGCTCATCACACCGCCTTGCTCATCCTCCACGTCCGGAACCCGATATCCCCTTCATCGGTATATCTCTTACTCTGGCTTATCTCCTGCATATCGGAATTTTGTATGTAATATCTCTCGGTTGGTAGAGCCATCTTCATATGCGCAGGCTTGTCAGGATCCCAAATGGGTTGCTGCGATGCACTCTGAATTGCAAGCCCTTGAAGCCAACCACACCTGGTCTTTGGTCCCTCTGCCTCCCGGCCATCGCCCAATTGGCTGCAAGTGGATCTTTCGAATCAAATACAACTCTGATGGCACAGTTGACCGTTACAAGGGTCGTCTTGTTGCCAAAGGGTTCAATCAACGCGAAGGTATTGACTTCACCGACACCTTTGCTCCTGTTGCAAAATTGATCACTGTCCGCTGCTTACTGTCTGTTGCTGCTGCTCGCAATTGGCCTCTACATCAAATGGATGTCCATAACGCCTTTCTCCATGGCGACCTCCAAGAGGAGGTTTACATGTTACCCCCGCCCGGTTCTCGTCGACAGGGGGAGCATGTTGTATGTCGACTTCACAAGTCCTTATACGGACTCAAACAAGCTCCACGAAGTTGGTTTCGCAAGTTTTCATCTGCTATTTGTGGCATTGGCTTCAAGCAATCTCGGGCCGATTACTCTTTGTTCACACATGTACAGGGAAGTTCCTTAACTATTATATTGCTTTATGTGGATGATATGATAATCACAGGCAATGATGAAAAGGCAATCTGTAAGCTGAAACACTTTCTTGGAAGTCAATTCCGAATAAAAGATCTCGGATCCTTAAATATTTTCTTGGTGTTGAGGTGGCACGATCGAAAACTGGGATCTCTATTTGTCAACGCAAGTATACTCTTGACATTTTGGAAGAAGCAGGACTACTTGGAGCTAAACCAGCCAAGGTTCCCATGGATCCTGATTTAATATTATCTCCCACAGGTGAATTGCTCAAAGACCCTACTCGGTATCGCCGGTTAGTTGGCAAGTTGATCTATCTCACAATTACCAGACCAGAAATCACTTATGCAGTCAACACCCTAAGTCAGTTTATGCAAGAGCCGAAACGCCAACATCTTGATGCTGCATATCGTCTTCTCCACTACCTTAAAGAAGCTCCAGGTCAAGGGTTGTTATTCTCTGCCGAGAACAAGTTGAAACTAATTGGCTATTGTGATGCAGATTGGGCTCGATGTCCAATCACACGTCGATCAGTAACTGGATATTGCATCTTTCTTGGTAATGCACTAGTGTCTTGGAAAAGCAAGAAACAGGTTACAATAGCACGTTCATCTGCCGAAGCCAAATATCGTTCAATGGCTGCAGCTACATGTGAACTCACTTGGCTAAGATATCTGTTGCAGGATCTGCGTGTTGCACATTCGGAACCTGCAAAGTTGTTTTGCGACAATCAAGTGGCCTTATACATTGCAGCGAATCCAGTGTACCATGAACGAACCAAACACATTGAGCTCGATTGTCACACTGTTCGTGAAAGAATAGAAAGAGGTGAGATCAAGACTGGATATGTGCAGACAGGAGAACAGATAGCTGACTTGTTTACCAAACCATTGAGGGCACTTGCCTTCAGTTCACTTCTTGGCAAGTTGGGTGTTATCAACATCCACATTCCAACTTGAGAGGGAGTGTTAAAGGAAAGAAAATAAGTCAATGATCTGTTATAGAGAGATTGTAGGAACTGAATGTAATTATTATATATTCAGTATCTATTTACCTAGAATAGCCATTCCTTGTATGTATAGAATTCCTTACCTAGAATAGCTGTTCTCGTGTGTATATAAGTCCTAGTTCTGTATGAAGTTAAAATACACATATACATACAAAGATATCAATTCTCTCAGCTTCGGACTGGAGGCACTGAACCACCAAGTAGCTGTAAGATGAGATGAAAAAGAAGAAAAAAAATGAATGAAGGGCTAAAGACCAATTATTTAAAACCTCCTCACTGTGTAGGGGATCATAGAATTAGGCCAGTCTTTTTACCTTTAGTACCATATTCAAAGTGACGGTGGCTGTACACTGGATCTACGAGGCGAAGGGTAAACTGTGCATATAATTTAGAGGTAGGAGACAGAGATGTGGGATCAGCCAATGCCAAATCAATAGAAAGATGGCTATCCTTCCCGTCGTCTCTTCCCATGGGATAGAACTCTATCTTCCTGCAACAAGCATTTTTCGATTAGATTACCTGCACTTAATATCTTCCACAGCAAGTTTAGTTTTCATCTGCAACCTTAACATCTCTCCTTTTGTTTTGTTTTGTTTTTGTTATTGGTAAACTTTCTCTAACACAAGTGATTGTTTACCATCTTCATGCAAGTAAAATTTGCGCAATGAAAGAGAGAGAGAGAGAGAGAGTGATAGACCAAGGAGGAAATAAAAAGCCTGTCAAGAAGGATATATTAATCAATAAGGAAGCTTTTGCACCATTTCTGGTCTCCAGCGATGAATGTTTCTGAGTCGTAGCTCTCCTCATCTAACTTTGACAAGTTTTCAATTTTCCAAACATGCTTGTACATAACGGCATCCTTGATCATTGATAGGCACTCTCCTTTGCATGTGCTTCTTTCTTTCCGAACAAAGACCTCTGCTCCAAACACACAGGCGTCATCCACAAGAAATCCATTGGAAGCATCAGTGAAATCTTTTTGAGAGAGAAATTGATCAAATCCCCAGTCAAGCTTAATCCCATGGAAGCACCTTTCCTTTTGTTCTTCTAAGCAATTAATGACCAAAAAAACAGAAAAAAATCAGGCTATGCGGCAATGCTTTGAATATATAAGAAATATTATCTTATATGTTCTCTGCTGGTTGTATAGGAATTAAATGAAAAGAAATGGTACCTTGAAGAGCCAAGTACTTGCCATTGTTCTGATCAAGTAGAAACAACCTGAAAGCAGCATACACTTCCCAACAGGTCTGGGGGCCATTTGCTCCAGCCAATACTAAGTAAAGAGAGATGTGCTCTTTCACATTCTTGCTCTTGTTTCCATTTGGATAAAAAGCCAGTTTCCTGTAGCAAAACCACTATTGAGAGTACTCTAATGCAGCTTGGAAATAAGAATAAAATTAAGGCTAATGAGAAAATACAGAGTCTCACAAGTATAAGAACTTGTTTAGGAAACGAGAGAAAGAATCATACCATTTGTATCCTCCAGCTTCAAAGTCCTCCGATTCATATCTCTTCAGTGAATGTTTGGACATCAATGAAAACAACTGTATTTTGAACGTGTAATGAGTTGGCATTGAATCAGAAAATGTTCTCAAAATCCCTGCAATTAAAATGTTGGCAACACAAGAAGAAGGTATCAGTATCAGTGATGTATGTACATTTGGTGTCCATAACATGCCATGTTTACATTAGCTAGTGCTTTCAACGCACACACTCAAACAGATAGCAAGAGCACCTTACCGTATTGGTCATCGAAGTTAAGGTTATTCATGCTCATGGTAGTAAACTTGACGACTGTGGAACTTTGAAGGTGCTGATAATTTGTTACAGGTTACAAGAATCAAAATGGGGTTTCAGCTTTTAAAAGGAGAAATAAAAGGTGTTATTCCAAACTTGAAGCTTTTTAAGGATATGACTGTTATGCTTTGCTTCTGCACGATTATCTTCTTCTTTTTCTTTTTCTTTTCAAGGAAAAGGTCTCCATGACCTGCTTGTAGGTGTTTTGAATCATGTACTTATTGTTTATTAAGGTTGAAGAGAGTATACTCTCACCTCTCACCTTTTCTTGTCACACCTAGACCTGCACATTCTTATTAAACCGAACAACATTGGGTTGTCATTGCATTGTTAAGTAGCTTTCTGCATGCTGTAACGCATGTCCGTTGATCTCTCTGTAGAAACAGAGGAAGAAAGGAGCAGAGTACGGAGATGGCTATGCATCTTCCTTCTTTCAAAGATGACAAATTCTAATTTATGTTGATTAAAAATTCTACTTTCAAAGATGACAAATTTTACAAGGTCAAGGTTTCTTCTGCTAAGAGAACAAACAGAGATTATAATTTTTAGAAAAACAGAGAGCTCTGCTTATGTTACTTTTTCGGTGTTATATGATGATCCTTTTGGATTTCATCACAGCCAGTCATATGGATTCCATGTATGAAAGTCACAAGGAGGATGCTGGTTTTCTGTTTTTGTGTTATGGTAGCGAGAAAACTTTTGGCTAATCTCTCCATCTTCATCTCCTTTCCCTAATTATCTAACTGTAAAATTCATAACCTTTGATAATGCCATACTACCTTTCCCATGTCCATTTTTAACTAATGAACATCCATCATATTACTGGGACCAATATTATCTAACAAGCCAAGAAGAAAACTTGTAATCATGCTTTTTCTGCTCTGAGAATGTGCTGGCCTTTTTCTTTTTCTTTTCTATTTTCAATATATTTCCATACAACTCAGCAGAGACTATAAAATTTGTAATAATTGAAGAAGTTACATGAAGAAAAAATAAAGGAAAACAAGGAAAAGCAGAGGATCAAGAAGCCTTTCACAATAGAAGAGACACAACCATGTCACAAGGAAATGAGTTTTTTTATTTTTTATTCTTTCAAACATTTGAGAAAATTGAAGAAAATTCAACCCCTTAATTTCATACTACAGGGCATTAGAAATTCCATGGACAGTGACCTCTGCTTCCACGATGCAAGTATCCTTCGACAAAAACCCCATGCCTGCTTGGCTGAGAAATCCCAGCGTTATGAATCTCCACCAACCCCACTCCGGATTTGAGGCGCTGAACCAGAAGTTGCCTACAAGCGCCAAGAAGGATTTCCAGTTGAGTATATTGAAAACAAAGTTGAAAAGGTAAAATAAAATTAAACGAAACAAGCCACATCATAACTAGAGAAGAAACCTCATGACTATCTAGCAATAACACTAGGCCAATTACCTTTACCAAACTGATGCCTTGCATTCACTTGGTCCAGGATCCGTAGCGTAATATCTGCATAGATTTTAGAGCCCGGAGGAAGAGATTTTGGATCAGCCAATGCCAAATAAAGAGAAAGATGAGTACCAATTCCATTGCCTTTTCCCTTGGGATAGAGTTGAATCTTCCTGCAACAATCAGCCCACGAAGAATAAGAATACTGTTAGATTACCTATGATTTAAAGTTTGATCTTCGAACAATTTTTTTTGTTGGAAAAAACCTTTAATATGATGATTGATTGATAAGAAGCTTTATGTAGGGATACCATTTCTGGTCTCCAGAAATGAACGTTTTTGAGTCATAGAATTCCGCATCTAACTTTGAGAAGTTGTCAATTTTCCAAACATGCTTGTACATCACGGCATCTTTTAACATTGATAGATACTCTCCTTTGCATGTACTTCTCTCTTTACAAACAAAGATCTCTGCTCCAAACACACTGGTGTCATCTAAGAGAAATCCATTGGAAGCTTCAGTAAAAACTTTCTGAGAGAGGAACTGATCAAATCCCCAATCGAGCTTCATCCCATGGAAGCGCCTTTCATTTTGTTCTAAGAGATGTCATATATAAAAAATGATGTCAGAAAATGAGACAATGCATTGCAGATATGAGAAACATATGCTTATCTGTTCTATGAACTAATGGAAGTAAATGGTACCTTGAAGAACCAAGTAGTTGCCCTTATTCTGATCAAGTAAAAACAACCTGAAAACAGCATACACTTCCCGAGAAATCTGGGTAGCATTTGC